CTTTTATTTAATCCGATATTTACACTTTTCACAAGATGTCTGAGGAAGGTTCTCCGAAATGAAGCGCTGCTTCACAGGGTGACACCCGAATATTCTCAGAGGAAAAAAAGAAACCCTCCAAAACAAAAGGACAAAAAAGGTGAACTTCTCTCCAGCATTAACATCCTTAGGTCAACGGATCCATTGATTTCCACCAGCTTAGATCCTCAGTTCGTCTCGGCCTGGAGAAAAAGTCAAAGTCATCTCAGAAGTGCTGGAGCCGAGCAGCTGACTGCTTCTCTTTAGTAGATGACCTCGTAGACGGTGGCCTTCTTGTCACCAGATCCTGTCACGATGTATTTGTCGTCTGCTGAGATGTCACAGCTCAGGACGGAGGACGACTCCTTCGACTGTGGGGGGAAAAAAACACAGAACACTGGTTAGAAGTTTGGTTTTTCTTTATAGAATCATTGATCTTATAAAACATGTTTTAATTATTCTAAATAAATCTGTCACAGGCAGAGTTTGAGTTAAATGTGTGCGTGTTTATCGCAGTCACCTGGAATATGCTGGCACCATAAGGAGTCCTCCATGCATTCAGCAGATTGTCCTTCCCTGTGCTCACAAACCATTTACCTGCAAACAGAGAAGCAATCGTCATGACAATATAATCTGAACATGTGAGACACTAAACACACACAGGTCGAGTGTGTTGTCATAAATCTGGTGAACAGGAGAAACATCCAGAGAGATGATGGACATGTGATTCTGTAATAACCTCATCAATGGCCATAAACACTAAAGGAGGAAAATGCCATTCCATTAACAACCATAAAAGCACATAATAAAGAAGACTCACATTTACACTCTGATGATTACTTAAATCACCGTCTTATTAATTACCCAGTCGACTAGTTGGGACTGATTTAATTAGCTGCAGCGAGAGCGGTGAAAGAGCCATTTGAATGAACAAGTTGTGCGGTGGTGGAGATATGAGACCGAGCTGAGGAGGAAATTAAAACTGACATTTCTGGAAAAATGTCACTGACGCGATTGTAAAACCTCAATTGTCTGAACTTTAAATTCAAAACCAGCTGCTCTGCCCAATACACAGAGTGATCACAACTGATACACAATACACACAGTGATCACAACTGATACACAATACACACAGTGATCACAACTGATACACAATACACACAGTGATCACAACTGATACACAATACACACAGTGATCTCAACCAAACAGGCGATGAACGTGCGTGTTTGTAAAGTTACAGCCTCCGCGTTCACACACACAACTGCCAGACTCTATTATGAGCAATTAAGATCGCTGAGGTAAAACATGTACAAGAGCAAAAATAGGACACGAGGCATTTATAACCATGTGGAGGTGATTAAATGAGTCACTGGATGTTTGAGTCAGTTCAGCTTCTACAGAAACTGTCGTTCCCTCATTAGGCAACAGAACCGACCGGCAACCAACGGACAGTTAAATACAGGAGCTACAGCTTGTGCTCATCTAGACTTCAAACATCACACAGGGACATTTCAGGACAGCGGGGGGGTTAATCCAACACAACCACCCACCTCAGAATTTATGGACTTACACAACTTCAATGGACATGAGGTGAATGAAAACTATCCAGCAGAGGCTTTTTAATTTCAGTCACAAACACCTTCTTATCCAGGAATCAAACCTTTATTCTTCCTGCTCTTGAATGCATGAAGACGTGTGTGGGCCTGGTACTCACCACAGTAGGCGAACTTGAGCGAGAGGACGCAGCTTTCGTGCAGGTGCAGCTGATACTTGTCGGGCTTGGTGTGATGAAGCACCTCCACGTTGCTGCTCTCCATGCCGACGGCCAGCCACTCTCCGGTGGGACAGTATCCCAGCGAGAAGATCTGCAACGAGGAAACTGTTCTTTCAACAAGTGTTGACAGGGTTTCATCATTTTTAACATTGCCTGTTTACCAACCACCGATCAATTAACACGTCAGGACCAGATGCAGCGTCTACATGTTTTTCCTTTTAGAGCCCGATGAGACGTTCAGATTTTTATATGCATCATAGGAAATCTATTTTTGTTTGTTTCTTTCAGCAGTCTGTGCCTGCAAAGAAATGACAGCCGCGCTTCACACAAAAGCCGATGACTCTGACGGAGGGTGATGAGTTACTTGGATGGAAAGAACAACGAATGAGAAGATTCCGGCGCAGACTTGGACGGGTCTACTGATGTTTGGAGGATTTAGGTTTGTTTCTGCAAAAGCCAAAGAGCTTGAGTTCTTAAATCATTTTTTTTATTTTATGGCTCAATTGATCTGATTCAGAGGCTGAGAAATAAAGTTTCATCCTTCACATAATCCTCAGGTTTCAGCAGGTTTTTAAACAATGCTCAGGTTTTTGACTTTTACTGATACGTCAGGTTATTGGTTTAAAACACACATTGAATACATTCTTCTGTGTGACACTAATTCATGAGCAGTAAGAATCTTATTTAGCAGCTAGGGTTGATCACACACTGTAGCTGCAGGTCAAATGAAGAGCACATTTGATTTAGTTTCTCTCCTTCTCTACCTGTGAGGTAAAGTCGTGTTGCTGGAGCTGCCGTCCCTCCCTCAAATCCCAGGAGCGGACAGTGTTGTCAAGGCCTCCGGTCCACAGCTTGGTCCCGTCGTGGGAGATGTCGATGCAGCTGGCTCCGTCTGTGTGGCCCTGGAACTGCCTGGAATAATACAACATCAAACATGAGGTCAGGACCAGGGCAGAAAACCCTCCAAGTCTTACATCTTATGCTGGTGGTCAAATGTTTTAGTCCTGTAACGCACATCCAAGCTGGGTACTGACCTTACGAGGGTTTGGTTGTGGAGGTCCCACACAGCGATGTTTCCATCGGAGCAGCAGGAGAAGCAGACCTTGGCATCAGGGCTGATGGCCAACGCGTAGCAGGCCGGAGCAGAGGAAGTGAGTTCGGCCTTTATGCGGGGCGTCTGCGAGGCCAGGTCCCAGATGGTCAACGTGCTGGCCTCCCCACCCACTATCAGGGTGCGGCCGTCAGGCAACAGCTTGCATGAGCGGATATAATTGTCTCTGTTCTGCAGGGGAAACGAAAGGAAGAGCACTGTCATGATAAGTGGATGTAATTTATTTACCTTTCTAAATTTCCCTGATGTGAAATAGTTGCATGGAAAAACTCAATTACAATTCTGTAGAGTAACCAACAGATGAACAGGATACTTGTGTGGATCTAGAGCCGATTTCAGACAGACGGCGTTCAGGTGAGGGGCGGAGCATCAGACAGAGGCAGAATATAAAGTATAAATTCTGCTGCGGAGATCATGTGGGGTTTTTTTTTTACAGCTCATCGACATCAACATAACTCAAACCTCATTGTCTGCATCTTCTACGTGTATGTGCTTTTCATCCAGAGATATTTATATTCTCTTCTCTCAGTTTTATGTCTGTCACGTGTAATAACCCTCATCAACACACCCACTCACTTCCTGTGAAACCTCCTGAGGATCTCATGCTGTATGAGAGTTTTTACTCAGGATCTATCAGGAGAAACTCCGGAGAACGTCCCCAGCAACTGACCCGGACATTTGCGCTCTCACAATCAGCCCCTCCAGATATTATCCAGTGTTCAGTGTATTTCTGAAAGCAAGTCAAGTCTCCTCTGCCACTCAGGAGGAGCTGTTCTTTTTAACAAGTGCGGTTTTTAGACTGCAGCTGACTCTTTCATGTTATAGTGAAGATGTGGATGTCAGCTTTAACTAGAGATTCAGGGAAAGAGGGAATGGGGCTGCAGTTGTTGGCCAGGCTCCAGAAGAGCAGGAAGACAGATCAATAGGACTGTGGAAGCGCTGGGTCGAATTAAAACAGCACCCTGATGGCTTTATAAGACCCAGCTGCACTCTGGACACACCTTGAGGGTGTTGGAGGCCAAAAGAGTCGAGTGGGATGAAGCCACAGTATCAGGATGAGAAATGGGAGACAGTTAGGAGGAAGTAATGAGCTGGGAAATAGCAGACAGGGTAGACCAGTCGGAGCATCATTACTCAGCAGGCTTTTTTCCTCACTAAGGATTATTTCAGTGCAGCAGTGAGACACTTAACTGAATTATTTACATCTCTATCTGCTGGGATCTGGGGGAAAACTAAGGTGAAGTGTGGAGTCAGGCAACATATGATGCCCAAGAAAACGTAATCACCGTCGTCTAACGAAACATGAGAACATCGTGTCTGTGTGCAGTTATAACACACATGTTACAGAGCAAACAAACGTTTCTTTTCTTCGTGACTTGTAACAAACAATAACATCTCGTTACCAGGCAGTCGAGTTGGGACACTGGGCTCTTGCTGCCTGGTTGGCTGATGTCCCAGATCTTGACACAGCCCTTGCCGCCGGTGTAGACATGACGCGTGGGGTTGCTGATGGTGACAGCGCACACCACCTCCCCGTGGCTCAGCGTGTTGATCTGGCGAGCGTGGCGTGGGATGCCCGGGCCTACCAGGGCATCTGGAGGGAAGGGCACGGGCTGCATCTGACCATCAGCACTCACATGAAAAGAATAAGCTCTGCACGAGGACAGAAGAATTTAAACTAAGTCATCTGTTAATAAAAACTAGTTAAACACACATTTTGAATAAAAGACAAAGACTCACGGTTTTCCTCCAGAAATGGATGTGAGGCTGGCTGGCAGGCCCGGAGCCCTCATGTGAGAATGAGGGTCAAACCCCGCCTGCACAAGCATAAAGAAACAAGAGTTAAACAGTCAATAACCTGCAACATAAATTAGACTAAACTAATATTCAAATTGAAAACTATCCTTCATTTAAGCTGCTAACGCCCTGAGGACCCATCGTTTCCAGGCAAATCCCTTCAAAAGGTGCAAATTCAGCTTCATGGCAAACAGTCAAGCTTTGCACAAGGCTCCAACATCCCACTTGCTAATGCTAATGAAAGCCTGGGAGATTTTCAGACATGCACAAGAGGCATTTTGGGGGAGAGTCTCTTTTTTTTTGAAGCCTTTAGAATGCTAACGAACTAACATCAAAGCAAAGGAGCTCGGCTTGTCTTTGTACTCTCATTATGTTTACACAACATGCTGCAGCCAGCCGAGCAGAAATATTCACAATGAGTTCTGGAAATACACAATGAATAACCAAGTTTCTCAGAGTCTTTCTACTAATACTTTACAACTCACAGCCACGCTGGATAATTCATACAAACGCTGGTGAAGACTTTGAATCAAACCGATGGAGGCGAAATATACAAGATGATTAACTGTGCGTGACGGAGTTTCAAGTTAAATTTAGGCCTTTTTAAAACCCCACGAATGAAATTGAAGACCTATGAAAGATTATCAGAGAATTATATACACTTGAAGAAAAAGGTCAAGTAGCTGAGACCGACCTAAACATATTTGAGACTTTTTGAGGTCTAAAATTCTGATCGTTCAATTTTAGACCTTGCAGAAACCAAATGAGAAAGAGAGAAATAATACAATAAAACATTTTCATTCATTAATGTTTCATAGAGGTGAGAATAATTACAATTGGTGAGCGCCCATAAGCTGCAGCAGCTGCTGCACTCATCTGAGGTGAGATGAGACCCGGATAAACGCTGGGGCTGGTAAGGGATCCGTTCATCTCGTGATGACTCATCATACCAAACGGGGTGGCATAGGAGCCTGCGATGGACAGCGGCGTACGCAGGGCAGGAGCTGCTACACAACACAAAAGAAAAGACAATTTAGCTTCAGGAATATTAATGTGATTCATTACAATGAGCTGCAACCTATGTTTCTATTTTATTAAATTCTGTGAAATGTGAAAAAGTTCACGTCCTGTGATAAAAAAGCTCCAGATAGAACTTTGGTTTGATTATGACATGAGCTAATTCTCAAAACAGTGAAGAGAGAACCAGAGAGCTTTTTATACTTTTGCTTGAACAAGAACAGATAATTATTTTGTTTACTCTTTTGTCAATTATTATATCAGCGTGAGGTTGAGGTACATAATGTGCAGTTACATACCTAACGCCTCCATGCCGGGGGGTTTGCCCAACGTTAGAGGCCGTAATCCTGGAGTGGTGCTGGTTCCTGGTGTCGGCGCCTCGTTCCTGGGTGTAGGCGTGTTGGACTTCAGGCTCGGTGTGGACGACTTGTCGTTCTAAAGCAGAAAGATGCTCTTAAGCCTTTGTGTGCAGCCTTGTTTTGTGTCCTCTTACTGGAACACTCAAGTTCACTTCCTCTCGCTCTCAGCCACACGTACACCAAAACGAAACAGAATCCGTGTCAGCGTAAAAAAAAATTCCCCCTGGCACGAAAATCCAGAGTGACAATCTGAGTGGACGGCTCAAGGTAATCCAATCTAATACTGACACTTCATTACAGCTATGGTTGGTGAGTGTGTGTGTGTGTGTGTGTGTGTGTGTGTGTGTGTGTGTGTGTGTGTGTGTGTGTGTCAGGGGTAGAAGTATAAACCTTTGCTTAGAAGTCAAGCTTGTTAAGAGTGACTAGACAAGCAAGATGGTGACCCAACCACTTCTCTCATAATTAATCCATCTCCTTCTTCCTTTGCAGATCAAGTTAGAAAAACGAGGGTTTAGCTGGTTGCGGGTTGAGTCCCGCTGGGTGCCACAGGAGGTGAAGAGTAGAGATAGGGACTATAAATATATTCTAAT